AACCAAAAGAAAAACAAAACTGACCTCAAGATCTTTCATTATGATTTCATTGCTTCTAGTGGTTTTATTGGGCTTTACCTCTAGGCTATTAAAGGCATATGGAAATTGTACAGAACTCAGTTAAACCATATCTTTAACCCTAATCTTCCACTTTCTTCTCTTTTTTAATACTATAAATAGTTTGAAGTGTAGAGATCTGGGCAGTGTGTGTGTTACTGATAGTTTACTCAATTAATGTGTATTCTTTCCTTTACAATAGATCATCTAATCTTCCCCCTCTCCTAACTGAAGAAAATACCCCTCTGCCATTACGTCCTTTCTAACCAAATATGTGAAGAGAGTGGAACTAGGAGGCAGGAGGGTACTGCAACCAGCACTCTGGTTGAACATAACTCCAGCAGGAAGTTCAGAATAGGAGTCTCTGAGCTCTCTTCTGATGGAGAGACCCTCCACTGAAATTTCTCATTCTCAGTTGTTTTATCATTGGAGCCACATGTAGGACTAAAGTATGGCTCCTTACGATATTTTTTGTGCAAGTGATCTGCAGTTCTCCAGAGGAAATTTCACAAAGAGATTATCTGCATCACAGATGTACTGTTCCTTCCCTCTGCATAAAGCAGGTGGGAACAGCCTGGCAGACTCATTTCAGTTGTTCCTATTTAGCGTGGCATTGAAAAATTCACTTCAGCTGTTCCTGCTTTACAGAAAGGGTACGAACTACTGAGGTGGGTCTTCCAATGTCAAATCTTTGAAGCTGAGGATGATGAAGGCACATCATGCTGTAGCAGCTTTGTCTTAGGTGTGCCAGTAAAGGGCCTATGGGTTTCATTTTGCAGCTGCATTTGAATTAAACAGCCCTGACTAAGAGGTACACAAAGAAGGAAACTGTGATACATAAGCAATCAAAGTTCATTTTAATCCTGCAGAAAATATATACCCTAAGTAAAACCTCTCAAAGCTAATTACTGTCAACAAACACACAATTATATCCTAAGTAATAAAAGCAGGAGACTCACTCATTTCTTGTCTGCAACTGGAGCTAAGAATATTGTAAATCAATAAGGATTTTTATCAGAACCAACATTCTCAATGAGATGATGATCACAGACTAAAAACAGATTCTGGAACTACCATGGGGAAAACTTGAGATAGCCTGTACAACTGTGCTCTAAAACAGCTTTAGCCTGGTTTAAAACCATTTAAAGTTGGTATTTATTGATGGACTGTTTTATGTCCTTGGATACTACTGAAGAATTTTTATGGAAACACTGTATACTGCATTATTAGAACACATTTATCATCTGCTGCCTCCACATACATCTCATACAGCTGGCTGACTTTACAATAGCAGTATGAATCAGAGCTACAGGGCACACCAATATTTTCCTCACTAAAGGAAATGGAGCTCTTTGGGGAGTTTACTCACTGTTTTTACATTAGCAACACAATAAAGCAAACACAATGATCTCCATAAATTAATGCCTTGAATAAACAAAGCTTAATTCACATTACATAAAACTCTAAATAAATTTAAAGTTTTTAGAACAATATTCCCAAACCCACAGAAAAACACTCACCAATAACAGTACATAGTGAAATCAATTAATAGAATACTGGAATGTATCACAGAAGAGACTGCTTCCCAACAAAAATATTGTTTGAAAAATGTATCTACTCTTACTAAATTTTTGTAAGTAAAATTTGTAAAAATATCAGTGGGCTGGGCCAACACGGTGACAAATAGATCATGAGCTATCAGGAACAACTGTCAAAAGAGAGCAATCATGAAGTTTCAATCACAGTCTGCTGCCTTAAGCCACTGAAAGCATATAAACAAGAGTAGATTGTGTCTCTGCTTTACAAAGTTGCAGATAAAATAGGCTCTTTGTTTCTAGGATTATCTAACGAGACTGACATAGGAAGCAAAGGAGCATGAAGGCAGTTCGATCAGCTACCAGTAATATTTCCTTCTGCTGCCCTGAAAGAAATACAGTAGGGCCAACCTAAGAAGTTGCTACAGTGAAGCACAACTTCAGCCTAGATCCTTCCATGGCTGCTCAGCCTGTGCAGCCAAGGATAACTGCTGGCAAAGCACCAGAAATTCAAGGCAGTTCAGCTGCTATGCTGGCACAAAGGAGGAGCTGAGAAGCACGAGGAAAGGCAGTGGTGTGCTCCTGCTTTCCCCTCTGTATGGACCAGCAAGGAGCAGGAAAAAGGCAATTGGGTCCTAAGGAAGACACTTCCTAACCTCACCTACTTTGTTAATGCATATCCATAGCCTCACTCCTGACCATACGTAACTTCTACTATTCTGGATCCTAGTTCTTTTCAGAAGTTCCTTTCCTGCAAAGCAAATGAACAGTGGGGGGTTGCACCACAGGCGCCTCAAGGGCTGGGCTGCCAGCCCAACCTCTCAGCACCTGCAGGGGTTGGAGGATCCTTCCCCAACTGCCCTCTTAATGGACACTGCAGTGATATTTGTGGGAGGGAGCTAAGAAGAACAACCTCCAAGTCCCTAAAGCAACTTATGTTTTCCACAGAACATCGACCGATCGTAGCAGGCTGACAGGGAGGGGGCTGCACAGAGGGTGGATGGTGACTGCTGGGGGAAGCAGCCCTGCAGCAGTGCTGTCACAGCACAGAGCTGGGTGCTGGTGGCTCCCTAGGGCCCCCCCACTCCCATCCTGACCCACCACAACTCACCTCTCCTGCCTGCACGGCGCTGGGGATGGCCGGTCACCTGCAGGTCCTGCTGTCCCTCACACTGGGCCTCGCTGGGCGCCATCTTGGCTGGAAGGACTCAGTAGGCACCACCGCCCTCCCCACAGAGCGCTGCTGGGCTGCCCTCTGCTCCTCACAGCACGCGGGATGGCGGCACTCCTCTGTGAGGCCTTTCTGCCCGCCTGGGGCAGGGAGATCCCTTCACTTCTCTGAACACGGGGAGTGGAGGGAAATGGGCTCCCACGGATGGCCCCAGTGCCAGCCTGGCACCCAAAAAAGACAAACGGCCACAACCCCTCTTGGAGGGAGACAAAATCGCTGGAGATTACCTATCCTTCTATCCTTGGCCTTTTTTTCCAAGGACATCCACAACAACAAGCCCCCAGGATTAGCCAGAGGGGAATGTGCTAAAGAGAGGGGTGCGGATGTGGGAGCAGGTGCTGGGGCCCTCCTTTGGACGGCACGGCCATGGGGCCAGGAGCTGAACACAGACAGACGGGAGAACGGCTGCAAAGGGCCCCATCCACACTGTAAGCACAGCTGGGCTATGTGCCCACCATCTGAAGGAAAAGCTTGTTATACACAGGCTATTTTTGGCATCTACTCAGTTCTTTAAAGCTTATGTGCTGCATTTGCAGTCTTGCTGCTGGGTAAAACTGTATCCAGTCTCAGAAAAATGCCATTTTCTGCAATACCCTCTGTAATGAGGAAACATGGTCTTAAAAGAAACATAGCAAATAAACCCAGATCTCAGTTTACATACAGACCACACATGAATACCGAGCACGGCCAAATGCACACTTAGGATTAAAGCTGCCAACTGAATGTTTCAGACTTCAGCATTTCACTATCCAGAACATCTATGTCAGCATTAAAAACTTGCTGTTCTTCTCTTTCTCAAATCTGAGCATCTCACAGGAAGAATGTCACATGGTTATGTTGTCTCTTTTTGCCCCAACTTTTTGGCCTAAAGAGAAGTCAGCTTCCCAGCTCTCCCCATTTTCAGTTGAAGGCCATAAAAAGCAAGATTTTGTATGTGGGTCTTGTTCCACCAAAGGTTTGGGTTGGAACTTGGGAACAGAGTTACCATCCATAGCCAAGAAAAACGTGCGTGCTAAGTCTTGTGGACATGACTTTTCCTTATAATCTCTCAGGGCCTTTTATCCCTTTAAAGGAACTAAACAAACTATGAGCTTGGTTTGGCTTTTAACGTGCTGAGGAGCAGTGGGTTGTTTTTCTTGTTGTTGCTGGGAAAAATTGTCCCATTCAAAGGACAGATTCCATATGCAGATTCTCACAGAATCACAGAGCAAGGCATTGAAGTTTAAAAATAATCAAACACTTCTACATCAAACTGTATAATTGTGCAAACTGTCAGCTTATTCAGGAGTATAATAAATAGATCTATTTCACCAAAGACTAGCAAAACTTGCCACTGGGGTTTGCCACTAGCAATTACTCATTGATTTGAACTACATTCTGTAAATATTTCACATAGAAATATATCCCAAAAGTCAGAATGCTATTCTATTTCTCATCTGTATGGATGATATTAAAAAATGTGTTTGTCTGGTTTGTTGGTTTTTTTTGTTTGCAATTGTTCAGGGCCAAGTTATGGGTCATTTGTTTGTTTGTTTGTTTGTTTCAATAATTAATCTTTCCTTCTGTGATCTACAACCATCATAAATGTCTAAGAAAATATCAGCTTGAAATTACTGTCATGTGCTACTCCAAAGGGAGAGTGTGGAATTAAGCCTTCTCCATCAGAAAAAACAGCTGGTTAAAAAGCAGGCCAACTCTTTCCAAGTAAATCCTGGAATACAGCATGCAAAACAACATGTGTTCAACCAGAAATCCTCAAAAGAAAAGAGCATTTCCTCAAACATATTAGCCACCTCAGATGAAGGCTATTATAAACAAATAGGAACCCTGCCATCCTAGTACCTCTGTAAATCTTCTTCTCCTTGGTTTCTTTATTTTCCATGATTTGGACAGGACCTGAAAATGACTCAACAGTGAGGTTTTAAATTAAGAGATTATGAGCACAAGTACTGTCACAAGACTTGAAATAAACAAAGAAATTTCTGTTGACACTTCACAGTTTCCGCTCACTTATCTCTTTTGCTTCATTAGTCTCACTTCTGATGTAAAATATGTAAAAAACTCTACTGCATATATCACACTGCATACTGATAATCCATCTTCTGGGTGTATCCTCCGAGACATTCACACCACTGCCACACAGTCAAACAACAGCAACACACAAACTATACCAAACCTTTGGAAAGTAGGCATAGGTTTTTTATATATATTCATAAGACCAGTTGTTGTATCTTAAAAACTTTCTGAAAAGGCATATACTGCAGGCAGTGGCAGTAGAGATAAAATATTATGGGATCCAGCCTTATTTTTTTTTTTCTCATCCAAATATACACATTGTTCTAGCAGATGAACAGTTTAATCCAGACTTATTGCTGCTGCTTCATGACTCAAATGCTTCATATACTGCTCCACACATGAAACTACTGCAAATATCCATCTCGTCTGATCAACAACAGCTTCTTTGGAGTGCAAGAAAAGAAAAGAAGCATAATACATAGTTCACTTAAAATGCAGTGACAAAAACAGCATTTGAAGGCATGTGTTCAAAATAGTTCCATATTGTTATTACAGATGGAAACAGTGAAGGAAGAGAAACAAGGAACAAAAGCCAGCTTTTGTGAGTTCCAAAGCAATCCCTTATGATCCTGGGTCTTGTATAAGATGATTTGGAAGCTTTGGAAAGGCATTCAGGGTCTCTCCCTGAATAAGGCACTGCAACACACTGTCTTCCATAAGCCTGGCCCAGTGCCATGACAGTTTCTGTATAATTCATTGCACATTCTGCTAAGTGTTCTATATATATCTATATAGATATATACACATAGAAATATATGTAATTTTCCATATGCTTTGCTGCAAAACAAGAGAAAAACAAAATCAGTTACATAACAGAATACAGAATTCATAACAGGCTAAATTTAGTACCTGCTGAAAAGTTGCGCATGCTCCAAACCACAGATGTGCTGATAAAGCTGCATATATTCTAATAATTATATTGGATTACATTTCTTTTTTTCTTTTTCTCACAAAGGTTTGACACAGCCTGGCCCAGAGGTCTACTGTTCGACTTTCTGAGTAGCTTTTGTCCTTTCCAATCCTCATCATTTTTTCAGTGAATTAGCACTATTTCTAGCAATTCCTTGTGTCACACTCCATGACAAAATATTGATCTGGGACTAAGCTAAACATTTATTTCCATTTCAAAGTCTTGGAGCTTAAATCCTCAGCAGTAAACAGTAGTACCTTGAACCTCATCGTCTCTTTTAAGTATGAAAAGCTTAAGAGATGTCTTTTCTTATGGAAAAATACATACTCTTCAAATACCAATTTATCCTCGTTGTTTCTTTTGCCTTTGAAAACAAAAGAGTGGCTGGCCAGATTGGTTACGGAATACTGAGATCTTAAATTCAGGATTACCAGTCTGGAATTAAAGTCAACAGCACACAATTTGTAACCACCCAGAGGCTTTTCAATAAGTCTGAGTGAAGTGATCGATGTACACTTGCCAAGACTTACCAGTAGCAAATCGTAGGCTGTTTTAAGAACTTAAGCATGGCTATCCTGAACCAGGCATCAACTCAGCTGTGCGTACTGTCTCCCAAAGTGACCTGAAGTGGATATTCTTTCCATAAGAAATATTCCAAGTATAGTACTATCTTCCTACACACTCCAGTGGTCAGTGATTTAAGGATTGTCTAAAATAGATGTTGCTTCTTAGCATGGTGTTTAACAGACACTGATGGGCCTATCCTCCTTTAATTTGTCTTATTTTTTTAATCCATTTTCAGCTCACATAGTCTTCTGCATCATTGAACTCTGCAGTTTGTTCTTTATTTTCCTTTTAAACTAGCTACTTAATAATATCATGAAATACCTTTATTAAAAAATAAAAATAAAAAAAAAGGAGAAAAAAAACAGAGCTGGTAAATAAGATCCGCAATCTTTATCTACTGTATCTTTGTGGTTATAAGCAGGAGTCACCATGAGGAGTCCACTGCCTCCAATAAAATAAAGATATTTACTGATTGTTTCATTTTAAAATTAACGTATTTTCTGCCTTTTTGTATTCTGCAATTCCTGGTCATACTGGGGTGAAAGTTGTTGAACCTACGGCTCAGACACCTCCTGTTAAGTTTCAATCATACTTGTAATTGGAGTTATTTACACAAGTCTGAGAACTGAGTCCGTGATTTAACTAAGCATCAGCTGTTACCTTCCACATGGCATGCCCGTGTGAGTTCACATTTTATCTCAGTTTTCCTCATCTTCCTCATCTTCTAATTCCTCTTCTGAGTCATCCTTGTTCTTTGAAGTGTTGCTGAATTCAAGATTCCCTTCAATATCCAGTACTTGTAAGTGCTGTAGACTTTGGAAGATATTTACCTTCAGTGCTCCAACTGCAATCTTATTAAACCTTTAAGCAAACAAAAAAAGACCCTCCTGTTAAAATAAGCCCGTTCCCATATCCAAGAGAGAAATGAGAGGAAACTAGGAGGAAATCATTCAGCAGTTACTCTAATTTTACAGTGGCACACAACAGCACTTCGAAATGAAAGCCTTTGTAAAGAAAGCAGAGCTGCTAAAACGCTGGCATTGAATTCTTCATGTGTAGAACTGAACAGTGTGGAACTGTGGAATGATGAATATGTGAAGATAATTATCTTTCAAGGGTCCCAACAGTGTGCAAAGGTCCTGGCTGAGAACAAAAAGCCAAAGCTCAAAACCAATGTTCCCCCTTCCAGATCCATCATTACTTTTTCCTCCAGACACACTGAGCTGCAGAGTACTGACTTTTCTGGAGAGAAAAAGAGAAGGAAAGTAGGTAGAGGTTATAAAGCAGGCAAACACAGTGACTGAACAAAGTTTCCTGATGGTGCTATGTATCATTGCAAAGGACCTTGCAGGAAAATAATAGGAAACGTTAAGCATCTCACACTGATTTCTAGTTCACTACTCAAGCTCTCAGAAGATTTCTGCCCCAGCCCATATGACCACCTCTTTAACTGTATTCTGCAAGGAAAAAAATCATAGTATTGGAATTCCTCCCCCACAGATTCTTTCTCTTGGCATACTGCTTTCTCCTTCCCAGGCAGAATCTATCTGCCTCATAGCCCACATTTCAAAGTGCAACTTGCTTTTCCATGAGATTCCATGTCATCCCTTGACAGCTGAATTCTTCTCCCACAATACATGCAATGCTGGTGCTAAGAATCTCCTTAGAAACATATGCAGAAACTTTTCATCTGTTACATTGTTTTCCAAAAATCTAAATAAGCAAATGTAAAGTTTCAGCACCCCTCACATTTCCTGCTTCATTCTTTTGAACATGCTTCAAATTGTATTTTGTCTAATATTCCAGATGTATGTCATTGTTTCACACTATTAAAAGGATTAATAGCCTCCCATTAGGAAATACAGTTTAACTTGGGTGGAGTTGCCTCCTAACCATGTTAGCAAAAAACAGATCTGCAATTCTTTTTTTTTTTTTTTCTCTTTATATAGAAATATAGAATGTGGAATGTGGTTTTTGGTTTGCATCCAGGCATTCACAAAAATCTCATAAATGTGAGCAGCTGAATAGACAGACTGCTCTAATTTACACCAGACTTTTTAATTTTATTTGCTTGGTATGGGACCTTTCATCTAAAAAGGTACGATTCCAAACTACAGAACAGTGCTGCTGCATACAGACAAAACAAGGCCATATTTAGTCTTGTGCTGAAGGGCATTCCAGGCTTTTTGAACACAACCACAGGATCAGCTTAATCACATATTCCATAGGCTTTCATAAGTTACTTCTAAGTACTATTTTCATTAATGTTCTGTTTGATTAAAATTGAATATATTATTTGGCCAGATCCTGGCTTCCCTTCTTGTGCTTAAGTCCTCAGTAACTCTGCTTAAAGTTACTTTATTGTGAGTTTACATTTGGTGTGAAACAAGTTTGGCATCTGCCACTTGTAAAATATTAGGTTTAATAAACCAGGTTCTCATCCAGTTGACAGAATAGGAAAAAACCCAGAAAATCTTTCTAAATTTAGTTGCAATTGTCACATTTGTGATAGCTGACAGCATTGACATCTGTTTCTGACAAAACTATTGCAGAAAAGCACACCACGTCAAGATCAGTCATGCAAGGCTCATGACAGGAGGTTTTTGTACACTATGAAAAGCCAGGGGCAGCAGAGGCAGAGCTGTAGTCTTACAACTGAGCTGTATTTAGTCTGAATATTGGAATAGGAGATAGTGTTAAACATTGACTTCCCAGAATTTCTAACATGCCTAATCCATTCTCATAAAGACAGAAAGGAAAATCTCTGAAGAGCACGTTTTATGTATCCATGTCTTTCCTCAGCAGATGAGCATAGCTTCATTGAATTTCTATAAAACAAAGATGCTTATTTAGAAAGTTAAAATTTTAAATAATTTCTAGAAAGTAAGCAACAATAAAGTGAATAAAAAAGAAAAATCTTGTGTGTTGAAGTGGAAACCTGAACTCACCTGAGGTAAATTCCCTTTAGTTTGGGTGTGGACTCAAAAACATCCTCTGAAACAACTGTGATCTTGTTGTTCTGAAGATACAGATACTCTAGAGATTCTGGCAGGCCTGAGGGGATCGAAGTCAGCTGGTTGCCAGCCATGTCTAGTGACTGTAAGAGACAACAAGGGGTTAAATAAATAATCAAATGTGAATATCAGCAACACTCCAAAAATAGAAGTTTAACAATAAATGAGCTTTCAAAAGCTGGCTGTGTACATACACCTCTCCTTCTACATGTTATCCACTGTTTTTACATATATATATACATGTAAATATACAAACATTCATATGTGTATAACACACTTATAAAAAATTAGGATGATAACAGTACAGAAGTGTATCCTCTATCCAGGATTTTTGTTTGCAAATCATCTGGAAACAAGCTTTATTTTTCAGATGTTGCTTTAGTGAGTCTGCTCACTACACCTTTCCCTTCTGGTGAGGTCAGGAAAAGAACACTGTGTGCAGAATGGAAACTGTAGGGTGTCATCCATGTAGAAAGGTTCTGTTTGAGTTCATAGTGGAAAACTGAAGCCATGTTTACTGTAGCATAAACTGAGTTCATGTAACTCACATCAAGGAAAAGGTGGCTGCTGCAATTCTGCTTTCTTGTGCTACCATTTAACATCACGATTTCACAGGACATGCCATGTATGCTGTTTTCTTAAGCAGTCCCAACACTTCTTTATGTCTGTCCTCAGGCTTTAGCCCATGACTACTTACAGTGGTTTACAGGCAGACTGGGTTTCAGATATGTTGGGAAGTCCTTGGAAGCTGCTACTGCAAATGCTTCACTAGCTGTGGTTATGTTAGATACAATCACACATACAAACACACAGAGCAACATATGAAAACATCAGGACTACAGGTCATGACACTTCCTTATAAAAATTTTCAGCATAAAAATTGATTAAAATAAGTGTTGTATGCTATATGTAGCACTTCCCAAGCTGACATGCTAGTCACATTATTCAGCTGCAGTTCTACAGACGATTGCCATGATTTCATTGTTCTCCTCAACATAATCCCAGTCTGGCAAACAATTATGCAAATGCCTCGCTTTGCAATTGCAAGCAGTCTTCAGTGATTTCCATGGTAACAGTGTGGACAGGACTGCATGCTAAGTACTTACACAATCAGGATCTTAGACCTGACTGTTATTTGTCAAATCTCCAGTGCACCAACTCATTAACCTATTGCAGAGTTAAGCCCTTCATGGTGAAAAAAGATTAATACATACTATCATGGAAATACTTAACAGGTAGTAAGGCTGCTCAAGAAGTCACAACACCAAAAAAAAGACTGTCAGTTTAACAGAATCTTGCATACATGCTATTATCTTAATGTGAGTTAATATTATATTAATATTAATATACTTAATATGAGCCCTGCTTAATATGAGTGGGGTTTGCTGTGGAAAAGGTGCAGCTGAAGGGCCAGAGTTTGATTCAGCAGTGCATTACTCTGGCTTGACACCAACTACAAAAGAGCGACAGCAGCATAAAAGTGAGGTGAAACTGCAGTGAATCAGGCTTTTCAAGAAGGTAAGCTTGTAATTTTTTAATTCCAACCAGTACTAAAGCTGGCAATAGGTCTCATGACCTATTATTGTGTAGAGGGAAAAAAAAAAAAGACAGGTGACAATGGTTGCATTTCATTGAGCTACTGCAGGTAAATGGTGCCAGTATCTACAATTCTCATCAGCATCTTCCTTCCCAACTACATTCTCTCTCTGACATATTTGCACACACGTGCATGCACACGTGTCACTGAGGCACCAAACAAATGCAAAATATATCACTGGAATCATCAACCAAATCTACAGCTGATGCAAAGCAACAGTGCTACAGATGCTATTATTGCACTGCTGGTTTACATTAACTGAAAAATAAGCTCTTATTTATTCCAAGAAAATATTAACACAGATAAATGTTTACATTGTCTGAAAACACACTGGGGGCCAGTAAAACATACACTCCACATCTTCTATCCCTTATCTGCTTTCAGAAGTATAAATTTTGCTTGTACAGTGACCTAACAGTAGGCATCATAGATGGTTACCAGATGGCATAGGTAATGCCTTTTACTGCAGGAAACAGGCTGTTACCTAAAAGGAAATGCAGACAAATCCTTCAGCCAGTGTAACAAATCTGAAAGGTCATTTTGCACAGCAGAAACGAGATTGTTCCTGACTGCCTTATGGTTTGTGTTTAACTTTCTCGAACAATTAAGCAAATGACGAGACTGCTGATTGAATCCAGACCTCCTAAGTGCTATCCAGGTGCCTTAGCCAGCTGAGCTGCTAAATCCTGTAGCTTGGCCTGTCTGACTATAAGCTGATGTGGGGGGCTTTGAGAATTAAGAGTGGTTTTGTTTATGCATTCCTTCTTCCTGCCATCTCTCTTCAGAGCTGATTTCAGATCTTTTGGAAGACAAGCTATTTGAAACACAGAGTTTCAGTTTTAATGACAACATTCATTAATATTTAGCTGAAAATAAAGGACAGCATTAGGATTGAGAAACAAAAATGTCTTAACATTTCCCAGAATTAGCAGTACACGGTGGACCACCGCTCCAGTCAGCAGTACTCACCTCTGGCACCACAGCACAACCTTTCATTTGCTAGAAACAGAGCACATGGCACTTAATGCAAGCCCAATACATGCATTCCAAGCAAAGCTAGTATTGGTGCCACATAAACTGGCTTAGGCAGACAGAGGAGGACATTAGCAATATGACCACAATAAGAGAAGGTGATGTTTCTACCTGGAGACTGCTGAGCTCCCTCCACGCTCTTGAATAAATGGAATTTACTTTCAGTTTATTGTTGCTCAAATATAATTCCCGCAGTTTTGTCATCCCAGACAGAGTCCCTTTGGGGATGTCACTTATCTCATTTTCCTTCAGCTTCAGAACCTGCAAGTTCTTTGGAAAGCCATAGGGCACCGTGTTGAGGTTGTTTCCAGAAAGATCCAAGGACTTCAGTTGCCTCAGTTTACGGAAGGCCTCCCGATGGATCTGGGGACTTTTGAGCTTATTGTAGCTCAGGTTCAGCTCTTCAAGGAAGTACGTGGTAGCAAAGTCATTCCTGTTAATCTCAGAAATCTGGTTATGCAGGATCATGAGTGTTTTCACTCGTCGAGGCAGCCCACTGGGAATCCTTTCCAGGAGGTTGTTGTACAGATGGACAGTGTGCAGTTTCTTCAAGCCCTGGAAGGCTGACGGGTGAATACCTCGGGCTTTTAATTTGTTATTATGGAGCAGGAGGTACTCAAGGTTCTTAATTTGGGTCAGGACATCTCTACCAATCACCTTAATTGCATTCTTCTCCAGGTGAAGGAGGACGATGTTTCGAGGCAAACCACTTGGGATTTGTGAGAGGTTATTGCTGGACAAATCCAGATATTCAAGACTAGAGAGTTTCCTTGAGAAAGCAGGAAAGAAAACACTCTCCATTTAGATTCTGCAAGGTGAAACAATATTCAGCCTTCCCTAGGATTTTACAGTCCATTTCACAGAAACAGCCTGAATAATTTTTGTCTCTCTGAAATTGCATATGGAAACTGAAAATTAGGCCTGCTTTTGAGACGATGAAATGTTACTGTAATGAAAATTAGAAATGCTAATTCAGTGTCCTAGACTAAGATACTGAACTTCTCCTGACCCTCCAGTATTATGGAAGTGAGTCAGGGGTAGATCTGCTTTGTGTAAGCTACTGAATCTGGATTCCATAGACTCAGTTGAAGCTAAAATAAATCCTCAGACCAGCCACTTACACCAACTGGATGTGGATCAGTGATGTTACATGCCAAGACTGAGGCGCTCCTGTGAGGAGACTGTAATCTGCATGGCACTACATAGCTCACTGCAGATGACTAGAAAGCTCTCAGGAAATACAAGAATTAATACATTACAGACATTTCTTACTGTTTACTACACTGTTGTTCAGAGCCCTCCAAGTACAGTCTGAATGAACAAACACACTTTCTGGGTAAAAAAGTACATTACTGAAGTCTGCACTGCTTCCTTAGCCTGGGTATTGTACAGCAAAGAGTAACATCCACCCCCATCTGCTGACTGTGATTGCTGCCTGAGCTACAGCCACTGCACCGTGTTCACCAGAATCTTAACAGAAATGTTATGTCCAACATTACCTGTAGGGTGACACAGCAGAACTAAGGTAAATTACTCTGGGAGGTTTCTGGGAGTGGTTCATGGAAAAGAGCTTCCCATTTTTAGAGACCAGAGAAGTTTACCAGACCAGAAAAGGATTCATGGCAAGTTATAGGCATGACAGATTATGTGGTCTGGATTTTCAGGTAGAACTAGGGCAGAACTCAGTGCAAGCAGAAAGAAAGGGTAAATAGGACAGCAAAGGCTATTCCAGTTGTATCAGTTTGTAGAAAAGCTTTTGCAGTCATCTGGCCATTGAGCAGCACCATTACATCCCCTGTAACTCCAGCAATCCCTGCGCACTGGGGTACAGCTATTAATTCACAACTGTGCATCTGTGGCTGCTTGCAAGTCACTAAAACAGAACAAAACACAAGTGACATAGCAAAGGTAAAGGTCTGGCCTTAACTCCTAGTGAACTGCCCTGGAAACTGAGACATCTCAAGTAGCCTCACTTCTGTCTTGTTTGGAAAAATGGAGAGCAGCCTGCACCATCGTTCTGGATTGCCTTTTCACAGAGGGCAATTAGCTCTTCCTGTGATTGGGTCTGCAGCAATCAAGCAGTGATGTGGTCTGATGTTCAGTGCTCTGTCTTCTGTATAATGGAACTCTGGTGTGTGAATTCAAAGCACTCACCAAGACCTGTGCTTTTCAGTGACAGTATCTGAGTCTATGTCTTTTCATCTCGACCTACCAGAGGAATGCATAGCAGCACAGCTTTTACTAAGTGTATTTTAAGTACTTGTGCTTTTTTTTTGTAGATGTACTACTATACCAGAGGGAGCAGACAGACACAGGTGCAAACTACAGGCCTGAATCTCACCAGAAAGTTTCGTTGTCCATTCCTTCATTAGTCAGGTAGTTATTCTGTAAGTACAGCTCCCGCAGGCCTGTAAGTTCACTGAAGGCTCCTTTGGGAATCTTCTCTAGCTTGTTGTTCTAGAGTCATCAGAAGCACATTGCACGTTATTTAGCATGAAACAACATAGGACACACAGGCTCAGCTATTACCAGACAATTAAATTTCAAAAGAGCTAGAATTTAGGTGTTTCACTGGAAGTTTTAATTCCACCTAAGAAATAAATACAAATACTAGATAAAAAGTATTACAACTAAGCACGATAATTGATTTCCAGTTGAATTTTTTAGGCTAAGAAGTCACAGTCTGGCACTCCAGGAGGGTTTCATTTTGTATTCATACAGCCCTTGCACCTATGTACACATCTACAGTGTAATCCAAGTAAGTGGCCCTGTAGTTTGCTCAGAATTTCTGAATTTTCTAAGACAGATTTTACCATAAAGAAGAATCAGTTTGGAAGCTGGGAACCAGCCATCCTTCCAGTGTTTGACATTTGAAAAGGCTCAGTTCCTGCAGTGTAGATTCTGAAGCAATTATTCCTATTGCTTTAGTGCTGCTTTTGAGTAGCCAGCCAGCAGACATGAACAAAATACAAAACTAAATTCCATTTATGAATTCCATACAGGAACTGTAGGAATTATAAAAGTACACATAAAATATCGAAACGGAATTTGTTTAACTTCCCACCCTTCACAGAATCACAGAATGGCCAGGGTTGGAAGCTCCAACCCCCTGCCACATGCAGGGCCACCAACCTCCCCATTTCATACTAGACCAGGCTGCCCAGGGCCCCACCTCTAGGGATGGGGCATCCACAGCCTCTCTGGGCAGCCTGTTCCAGTGCCCTTCAGGTACAAGCAATAATGTGAGGAGCAGACTAGACTAGGCATGGTCCCAAATCATGTGAAGTGGATACCATCACAGAGAGACTTGGCTGCAGATTACAGTGAAGAGTAAAGAAAAAGACCTGTCACACCTACAAGTACTCTTTCAATCAGTATTTTGTTTCTCACTGCTGTGTTCTGTTAATTTGTCCAGTTAGATGACAGGCAGTGCACTTGAAAACAAATGCTTGTTTCCCTCTTTCATTTTTCTGCCCTGAACACAGCTGGGACAGCAGGGAAGAATATGAGTCCTGAAGAACAATCCCTGAAGGCTAAGCCTTCATTTAGGAGATAACAATTACTTATGAATTGCAACAAAATCCAGAGCTTTAGTCACTTCATAATATGGCAGACAAAATCTTTGCCTTCTTCAACCTACAGAAGTCTTTGTAGAAGTTTTGTAGAAGACTTTAATGGAATTTAGCATGAAACCTTCAAGGGAAAAGGAAGCTGGGAGGCAACACAGAATGTCACAAGTCCAAGGGCTGGTAGCAGGTGTTCAATGACTTTTTTGCCTTAGTCTTCACAGGCACAGGCTCTAGCCATACCACCCAAGCTGCAGGAAGCAAAGGTAAGAACTTGGAGAAGGAAGATCTGGCTCTGGGGGGACCTGAGAGCAGCCTTCCAGTACCTGAATGGGGGCCTACAGGAAAGCTGGGGAGGGAACAGAACAGGTAGCAACAGGACAAGGGGAAACGGCCTTAAACTGGAAGAGGGTAGTTTTAGACCATGTATTAGGAAGAAATCCTTTACCTTGAGAGTGGTGAGACACTGGAACAGGTTGCTCAGTGAGGCTGCAGATGCCCCCTCTCTGGAAGCATTCAAGGCTGTGGATGACGTGGTCTAGTGGGCAGTGTCCCTGCCTACAGCAGGGGGTTGGAACTAGATGATCTTTAAGGTTCCTTCCAACCTAAACTCTTCTATGATTCTATAAACAGACTGCAGACTACAGACGTCCAAGGAACTGTCTACACTGGGAACAAACGGAACCAGGATTCCCCACCACTGCAGCTCTCCCATTGTTAACAAAGTTAAGAACAGACAATTATGAAGTATTTTTCATCAGAATCAGATGACAGAATTAAAAATGCTGAAGACTAGATAATACCACAACTTCTGCATTACATGACTGCTGGAGAAGCTGTAGCAGTGAAGATTCACTGATCCAAACTTTCTCTGTGTTGACTGAATTGCCAGTTCAGTAGCAAACAAAATATCAGTGGTGCTAGGGAACAGCAGTCTCCAGGATGGCAATTAGTGAGCACAGGCAATATCTAATGGGTAAGCAGCTGTCAGAAAAAACCATCGTCAGTGGCAACCTTGACCAGCAGTCCAATTAGTGGATGGCCATGAAGAATGACCTAGCTTCTTGTACTAATATGCATCCATATGATTATTGCCAAGAAAGAGATCAACAGTACCATCACACGCACATGCTTTTCATTCCCCTGAAAACACTGAAAAGTGATTTTTTTTCCCCTGTGAGCATTGTGATATTTTGCAAAAACACTCTATTCCTTATGAACAAGATAGTAATGACTTGGGAAATAGCTACTGTGGAGAGCATAGCAGATGAGACTTACAGAGGGCCTGGGAATGTTTGCAAGTGAAATTACATTACTTGGTTGTGTAGTTTGAATCTCACACAAGTACTTTTGTCACAGTCGTAAAGGAATACAAAACCTTGGTGTCATTACCTTTAAATGTAATTTGTATAATGCTGGAGGGAGATTCTTCGGAACATATTTCAGGAAATTGCTGGACATGATGAGTATCTCCACATTGTTAGAGCCATTGAACATATTATCAGGTAAGCCAGCATCTGAAAGTTTGTTGTTATGAAGGTAAACAGACCTGTCAGAAGAAGAAAAAAGATAAAGTAAAACAGATATTTAGATCTGTTTGTTCATTTTACCAAAAGAAAGCTGTTTAAAAACTATATTTCAGCCTATTCTTCTTCCCTTCATTAGATTTGTTATCAAAACATGGCCTTTAATTTGGCAAGGCATATATATACAAGCACAACCAAATGATTGGTCTGAATATGCTTTGAAATTTAGGTCTATTTAAATTCCATCCTGGATGTGAATATGAATTTCACAAATAGCCTCATCATCTTAACAAGAAAATGAATATAAATCTGGGACTGCATTCCTTTTAAGTCTACACTTCAGTTTTGCCATTTGGACTTGGCTTTGCTTTCGGTTAAGAGAAATGAAACACGTCAGTGTGGTGGCCTCACTCGAAAGGGTCAGAAATCCTATCGGATTAATAGGTATCTTAACTTCTTAAGATATCTCCTTAACTCCAATCTTAACCTCTATTTGGAGTCAAATCTGGGCTTCTTCAACTTGCAAAATCAACATGCAGATCTCTTGAGGAAAGGCTGTTTCACACCCCTCCATTCTTTCTGCTGCCATGAAGGCTCAAAATACCTCAGGAAACAGTTTGCCTTCTACTTCTAGAATTCAAAAGGGCAAACAATAATGTCAGAAAGAACAAATCTGTAAGAGTTTCGTTTTTTAATGACCTTTTGGGATCTAGAGAAAGATAGTTTCTAGCTTTCCCTTCTTACTTTTAACCTTGAATATTCACCAAAGAGTTTCTCCAATCAGTTTTAAAAATGATTTTATCTTCCTTACACAGGATTTAATTCTGTATAAAGCAACTGGCTTCTATAAAGTAATTGCTGCTTTCATTGGTTTAACTCCTAAACAAATTAATTTGACTTCTTTTTAACAGAAGAAATTATGACATTTTACATGCTTCCATTATCCCTTCATTTCCTGTGTGCACCCAAGATGCAGCAGCAGTTAAAGTCATGGACACAGGTTAAAATTGCAAAAGAGTACAGTGTAAAAGTTTTCTTTGACAGCTTATTCTTCGACTCTCTACTGGTGGCAGAGAACTTGGCATCTTTCTGGAAAGGAAGGAAAGGCTTAGTATGGAAACACAATAGTGTGACCACATGAAAATACAGTTCACCTTTCATGGTCAGCTGTGCTTCTAACTCATAAATATCTGCCTTTCTGAAAATGTTATTTCCAAATAATGAGCCTAAGATCATTAACTCTGCTGGGGACAGAAACTCGGAAATTGATGAATCAATTCTCAGAAGATTAAAATGTTCTGTTGTGGGAAAGTATGTGAAAATCACTTCTGAAGAGTGCAAGAATTTTAATACAAGATTGGAACATAGTAACTTATGTAACTCAGATGAAGGAAGAACGTGTATTAATGTAGTTTTTTTCGTGATGAGATATTGCCTGAAACCAATGCCCAATTCAGTCTTTTCATCTACCAAGAGCTTACAAGACTAGAGGTCTAGTAAGTACTGAGTAGCTTCTGTTCTCAGTGAAACCAGAGGGGAATGAGAGCTCTTCAGTTCATCGTATGATTGGGCTCTAAGAGCTCAACTGGGTTAGCCATTTTTAAGTAGTTCTGAATTTGGATGCATAAATTGCTATCAACAGAGTTTGAGACATCTCTGCAGGATTTAGATGCTGTACTGTCCCTGTAAATAGATTACTCAAAATGCCTTTGGGAAAGACTGTATCTCACAGGACGTCTGTCTACGTGCAGCTGAATTTGAGATAGACTAAAGCCTTACAATGGCTTCAGCTGACAAAATCAAAACCTGAAACTAGCAGAGAGGCCTTTGAAACCAGACCAGAGGGTATGAACCACTTGTGAAGGAAGGTTACTATGCTTAGGTTTAATACAGTTGAGTTATACTCAACTGCGTTGAGTATTGCATTCCCAACATGATTCTAATTTTTTAATGAATGGATTATTAAAAAATGGGGATTTCTAACTATTAATCCACATTCTGGGAAACTAAAGCTGTTCCTGAAGCACAAACAAAATGGAAATAATTTAATTTTTATCTATGCAAAAGTTGGCAGCTACTAGAAGCCCTTGGAATGTGTTTGTCGGATCCTTCATGCTGAGATTAACAAGTAGTCAGCTTCCTTCCAAAAAATATCAGTAGGCAATAAAATGGCTTAGCCAGAAAATTTCTTAAACTTATCAAGAGCCTCCGAGCAGTGTCAGAACTCCAGTCTTATTTCACTTCCCAATCCCTTACCTCAAGTTTGGTTTCTGTCCAAATGTGAGCCCATATATCTTAGTGAGATAATTGGCTGCAAAATCTGCACTGATCAAGGTATTTGGTAGGAATTTTGGAGCCACTGTTAGCTGAAAGAGAAATACAGATGCGAATTTCAATTAAATGCAACATTTTAAGCAAGCATTAGACTGTACACAAAACACTTGCAAATTTTTTTCTCTGAAACAGAACGCATATTGCATGAAAAATAATTTAAAAAATAAATTGTCCTCACTTGCTAATCTCTCCAGGAAGGAGACAGATTTTTGCTCCAAAATATGTGAACGTTTGTTTTGCTTGGAAGCATCCTGTCTCTTGGTGGAAGAAGTCAAGAAATTGTTATCCTAAGAGTAAATGCCATGCTTATTATTGTTCATAATCCTCGGTCTGGTGAGCCAAAAAAATCCAACCCACCTCATACTGGCCTACTATTTACTCCCATAAAGAAGTCTGTTGGTTCAGAGGCTGGGAATGTCATTTCACATGTCTACCAGTAATGCATCCATTTAAAACTAGCTCTTCAACAAAGGATGCAGGTTCCCAAAGTGCAGAGATGCTTCTGAGTCAAATGATGAAATGTCAAATGGAATCTCAAAGCTGTGCAATGATACCTTGCTCACTAAGCAAGTGAGGTATCAGAAACAAAATACGAAAAGTTCTTGTCTCTGCAAAACTTCTCAGTTGAAGAGAGGTAGGAGAGGTCCTGTTTGCTTTTGGTCTATTGCTATTTCCATTGGTGATATAAAAAGAAATGCTCAGAACACTGTATTTGAGTAAAACTCAGTGGAGTGAGAACTAATGATTAAAAACCTTAGTTTTACAGAAGATTTGGGTAATACAACAGCAAGCTTTGCTGTGTGGCTGCTAGTAGTAATTATTCATCTAGACACCAAGATTACAGGTTGCATTTTTATGGGCTGGAGGGCAATTCTGTGGAAAGCATGAACCCAGAAGATTAAGCCCCAGGAAAGAAATTCTCAGCACAATGCTGTGCTGGATACAAGCCTTCAGTCTCATATGCCTTCTTGTATGCTTATGCCTTCTGCATAAGCAGACTACTGAACTGCAGTATGCATGTGCTACCATGCTTACATGTGTCAACTATAGCACCAGTGAGACAACTGATCAAATACTTTACGTACGCTCTGAAGGACTCTGAAGGACTCTTCTACAGACATTCTGACTTTTTTTGTTTCCTAAAGCCTTCGAATTTACTGGTAGTTTGTCACCTCCTGACCTGGGAAATAGGATATCGTGCAAGTGGACCCGTATCTGATTAGGAAGGTCTGACAGTGCCTCAGAAAGAACTAAGTCACTATCACGACATAACGGTGAAAAAAACAGGAAACAGAGTTAATCATTTTCATATATGGTGGCACATTAAAGCTTTTCTCCTGAAACCCAGTCTATTGGGTCATAACTTACACAAAACAAAAGGAATGGCTCAAATATATGAAATGAGAAACATCTGAACCACAAGAAAGGAAAAAGTTTCATTCAAAGAGAGTTTTCGCTTGCACAGGACTCGTCTTTGGCATTTCGGCATTGAGCCATGAGACTGATGGATCTCCAGTGGCTGATTGCTTGAAGGATTAATGATGGAGTGCTGTAACTTAGCAAAACCAAGGTGTCTGAGTAGCTTCATCTGATATGTTGCCTAACGAGAAGCAATCTGCATTTCTGCAGATGCAATTTTCTTGCAGCTTTACTGTCGAATCTTCCTTTCCATATGGCAAATACTGTTTCTCCACTAATAACATATAGTAAAGCAATGAGCTTAGAAGGATTATACAAAAGTTATTACTTGTTTGAAACAAATTTTCTTGCTTACCATAAGCTTTGGTATCAACAAAAGCACTGGATCCAAGTGAATCTCCTGTCACTACGGGAATGTTTGGAGATGCAAAACCTTCTGCCACCAAAATCACCAGCTTACAGTAAATAACAGTGGCAGCTCAGGACATGCTCTGTAGTTGGGTAGGAGAGCCTTCAGTTACGAGGCTCTCTGCAGCTACGATGTGATTAATACACACTGTGAGCGTGATGAAAAATTCAGAAGGAAACTACTGCATCCAATAAGCATTATTACTAAAAAGCCACTTTAGTCTATTATGATATTTCATTTCTCCAACCAACTAAGCTCGTTTAATGAAAAACAATATCTGATGGGATCACAAGTGCAGATAACCCATAAAACAAGGAGCAAACTACCAGCAAATCCCTGCTCTCCTCCAGACACCACAGTTACTTGATCTGCAGCACTTCCCAGGGCAGGGTGATGCAGTTTGAAGCCAATATGGTTTCTCCTGGCTTGTGATTTATAAAGAAATGTGTTATTTCTGTGGGTCCACAACTTCTCACCATAACTAGTTCTGACATTCGCTGATGTTTGCATTTTCTATTGGGATCCTTTTCTCTCTGCATTAAAGCCAGAAACCCCAAACATTTTGTTTTGTCACACAGGGAAAACTGGAGTGCAAAGTTCTGGAATATGAGTCACAGTCTGGCTTATTCCTTTTTATGGAGTTATTAACTGCCAAGATTGTTATATGGAAATGGTGCTTGAAAGAGAGAAAAGAACACAATGTTACTGTACTAAATAATGGGTTCTATTCTCAATAACTCCATACAGAAAATCATGGAGTGATTCTGGAAATGCCTTGGCCTGGCTGAAACCTCAGTGTGGCCACATGTATATAAATGAAACATCAAAGGGTCACAGATGTTAAAAGGATAATAAAATATATCTGCAGACATGCATAGAAATGCATGTAGAGAGAGAGGAAGGGAAGGGTATTAGGCAAAAGAAGGTCTGTCTGATGTTTCAACTATTTTTTTGTGGTATTCTAGTTCCTTCTGTAGCAAATATTTGTGGGGGATCACCAGAGAAAAAGAAAGCCACAATGGGAACCTCCAGATATAAACATATGTGAGAAGGCATTTCCTTTGGCAGGGAGGGAAGTGTTTTTCTGTCATTACATCCAACTTGTATCCCCCAGTTGTGAACTTCTTCACTGAAAGAAGTCCAGCTCCTACCACTGCAGGTAAAACAATAAGTTAATGACCTGCTCAGTTTCACTGTGTGTGGGTATCCCCCTACAGCAAACCCAGTGAGAATGGGGGCCCAGGAAAATGGCATTTTGCTGATCTCGATGGCACACACATACACAGGTAGGAGGATGTGTTTGTTCACAGGTTTTTCAACCCAGCCTCATCTGATGAGACAGGCAACACTTTGCACCATTACCCCACAGCCTATTTGCATACATGCAGCTACCAACTGTGTATGCAGCTGATCCTAAGCCTACTGAGAACAGTGGCAATTTAAATTGCAGAGGCTCTCCATGCCTGCCTACACACACAAGGGCAAGTTTTCACTAGCTGCACAAAGTAGGCCTTGAAAATATACTGTTGTGTGAACCTCCTAAGTTTTTTAATACTCACTGCTTGCCTTGACCTTAAATGAACCTTCACTAGAATATCACTTCAGGACAATTTTACTTACACAGGATATACATTTTAAAAAAGAATAGAAGACTTGCTTGTTGAGCTTTCAGAACCCAATTAGAAAAGAATTCTGAAAGCCTTCTGAGCCTCTTACCTTATTGTTTGCCAAGTATAGGTAATTCAGGTTCTCCAGGTGCTCAAATGCTTCCTCTGGCAGCCCTTAAAAACAAGAAAAATTCTGATCAGAAACACTGGCATCCCATTGCCTCCCTGCTTGGAAGTACAAGAGGGTATTTTTCAGAGAATATTTTAAAACAAGATTTTAAATATTCTTCTTTGGCACTGAAGCAACCTGTTTCAGACCTATTGTTGCTTTTTTTATAAAAAACAAACCAAACCAAAGCAGAGCATTAAGAGCAATGTAAGACCATTAGAAACACCAAGCAGGCAGGGCTGGTGGCCAACCCTTCTGGCAGGATTCATGTACAGAGCAGGTATAGACTTGCTGTACAGCTGATTATAAGTGCTTCAGCAACCATGCTATCTGATAAGTTTATTTTGTCACTTTCTAGATGAATCTGCAGATAACTTCTCTTGGTGGGACATAATCTGAGGTTGTTTAATGACCAGATCAGTATGATCTATGACTATGATGTTGCCATCATAACATCAGTAGCTGCATGTTGTAACTCTTTCATTGTTTCCCCACAATCCATATAACCATGCAGTAACCAGCCTGGAGTCAATCCAGTTCAAAGCTAATCATGCTCCAATAATTACTATTTTTCAGCTGAATTGCTCCACACCCAGATGATCCCACAAGCACTGTTTCAGTCACAATGGCAAGTGTACAAAAGACACTTTCACCTAGCACTTAGATAACCAAAAGTGAAAGGTGAAGCTATTTCCCATATCAAAGCATACATGAAACCTAGGGTTGCACTGAGGTTTGTGAAAGAAACAGCACACCCAAAAGGTAATAATATGAAAGTCAGAATGTATTAAGCAGTCTTCTTTGTACCATGCAAGAATGATATGCTTTGGGTTCCATGAAATGTCTGCATTCTCAATCAAAGCTGTTCCCTATCTTTGCAATAAAGATAGCAGGAGCATTCAGAGCAACTGGATGACATGAAAGCAAACAATCCTCTCTTTTGTATTGTGTGCCCTGCTCTCTTACTGTTTACTACAACTCCTTCTGCTTTCCTGACTGGGCAGTTGTCAGGTCTCTCCAATAAACACTAGACTTAGCAAGCAACACCTGCCTACAGAAGTCACAATGATTTTTAAAGGGCAGAACTTGCCTTATTTGTAATCTATATTATTTGTTTTATATTTAATTCAGCAAGGACCAAACTGGACTAAACTGCAGTGACTGACTGAACATTTAGTGGATTAAGAAACAAGGTCAGTCAAAAGGAAATCATTCAGCATGTAGACAGTTCTGGTTCTCAAGTGCACTGCACTGATGTGCCTGAGGGACTGGAGGGAGTTTCCTGGATAAGCTCTCACACCACAGAACACAGTGCTGCTGCCAGGTCTCCTCCACTGGTTCAGTATGACTGCATTTTTATACACTGAGAATTATGTTTCAGATGATAAAATGCCTTCACGATCTGTGGGATGCTTACAGAAAACCACTACAGTCAAGTCGGCCCATGAAGTCTTACAGCTTTCCCTATCAGCTGTCATAGGGCTGCTGTTGTTCTGTGCACTTCACAGCTCTTCCACTTTACCTTTTGAAGTCAGCCTGTTGTTTTGCAAATTCAGAGTTTCCAGTCTGTGAAGACGAGCAAGCTCTTCTGGAAAGATTTCTTCTATCTGGTTGTTCTAAGGAAACAGAGAGTGTTAATCATCAGCAAAGTGGTCCAAGAAAGTTCCCAATAAAACCCAGACTGTGAACTTCAATAAAATTTGGAAATTAACCAACCATGTAAAATCACTGTCAACAGCTTTCTCTCCATAATGAGCCAAGTTTGGATCTCAAAACGAATACATCAAAACCCAGCAGCATTTGAAGGCCTGAAACAAATTCTGTAGCCTGTGTCCATCCCTATAAATATCCAACTTATGCACTGGTAGCACAGTGCGATCGTGCCTGGCAAGACCTATAATCCATTTGCCACAGCCTTGAAGTCGCAGCAAAGCATTTGCTACAAGGTTGGCACTGTGGAACTTCACATTTATTGCTGCTGTTATTTGAGTGTTGTTTTTAACACGAAGGATTTTTGTCCCACTGCAAACTTGTCATGAGCAGACAGTCAAACTGCACTCTTTTTTTCACTGGCCAGGAGTGACTACCATCAGATTTTCATTGACAAGTTTACTAACATTTAGACCATTTATGAATTTAGTGTTTTAGCATCTAGGAGGCTGAAAAAGGAGACCTGCTGTACTGGAAGCCAAGCTAATACACAGAAAGTGACAGCTGCTGTTCCAAAGTAGCTTTCCTGTTTTTGGCATTAGAGCAGGAGCCATGCCTAGTACATGCCTGGAACAGATCTGCTGAAGAGGGTGCCAGCTGACATTACAGTTTTTCTAACTACACAGCACTTGGATGGAAAGCACTGTACAAAATCTGCATGCTACCCATTGACCAGCCTTGGCAAATAAGGGCAATAAACAAGGTTAAGGGCTAAAGTACAGTGAGTGAAGCACCAGCTGTCTGAACATCACAGCCAGCACCACCCACTGCTGCAGCACTCTCTGGGCACCATCCCCTGGGCCTGCTGGTGGCTCCAGCCAAGCTTCAGGTGCCTCCCTGGGCACACTGTGCTTACAATACTTTAACTAAGATGTAGAATTGTGGAATCACGAGGGCTGGAAAAGACCTGTAAGATCATCGGGTCCAACTGTCCACCTACTGCCAATACTGCCTGCTGACCACATCCCGCAGTGCCACAGGGACAATATATCCAACCTGAACCTGCCTGGTGCAACTGGAGGCCATAGAGCTCCCATGTAGGGCTGCCGGAAAGTTTCTTATTAACTAAAGGAGTCTAGTCCATGCTTTTCACAGACAACTCAAAATCAAAGACCTTCACCATGAAAAGCAATCCTTACTTTGGACAAAAATTCTTCGTTTGGACCTGGGGAGAGAATAAGGAGAAAAAAAAATCCAACCTTTTTTCCTCCCTTGATGTGTGGAGAGAGAATTAAGGTGAAATCTCCCCTCTGCTCTGGGACAGGAATGGTGGGGTGGGGGAAAAGAGATCCTGAGATGGTGGGAGACCCACAGGTGGGCGAGGGGAACCGAGTGCAGCACCAGCATCGGGCCCGCTGCTTCCAGCACACACCAAGGAGGCAGGATAGAGCCAGGGCGGGCGATGCAGGCGCTTACCTGCAGCGAGAGGTGGTTGGTCAGCTCCGGCAGCAGCAGCGGGAACTCCTTCAGGTCGATGCCACCGCAGTCCACGACGCCCTCCTGGGTGCAGCCGCAGTCGCGGGGGCAGCCGTGGGCCGAGCCTGGTGGGCGCCTTCGCCCCACAACACCCTCGGGGAAGTCGTTGGCGGCGGCACAGCCCAGCGCCAGCAGCCCCAGCACCAGCAGCTCCCGGCCCCCGGCTGGCATCGCCCCTGGAACAGAGAGAGGGGTCAGCCCGAGGCGGGAGCCGCCCGGCAGCCCGGCCTCCTCCAGCCTTCGGCCCAGCGCCCACCCTGAGCTGAGGGAACCACGTTCCTGCTCTCCCCACGTGCCCTGAGGTGTTCCCGCTCTTCCCGCGTGCTCTGGGGTGCTTTCGAGGCCCCGCAGCACAGCTGCTGAGGCCTGAGCTCCCCACAGGCCCCCAGATGGGACCCCCACCCCACTGCTGACCACTCGCACTGTTTATTGCATCTTTCATATTGAGAAACACCAGATGATCCTGGAGATTTATATAGGAGGTTATGCAATGTTATTTCTGTAACTGCTGTCACACTGCTCCTCGCAGTGATGCACAGGGAAGCGAGTCTCACTGAGGTACAACAGTGCCTCATCCTGCCGGCGCTGCCTCACAGCGCCAAGCTCCACGACGGGCTTCCTGCTGCGCCTGGCAGTGCCCACCTGAACCTCCACAGCCTGGCTGCTGCTCAGCATTCGTCTTCCTGGCAGCAGGTTAAAATACTGCAAACAGCGGCGGAGCATCTGCCCAGCAGCCAGCTGGCCCTGCCCCAGCCCTCTGCCTCATTCCTTGCCCTTCTCACATTTCACTCTTAACGATTTGCACTCAGAACGAGTCATGGCTTTTTTCCATTTTTTTTTGCAAAATTATTTGAGAGTGATGAGCAATTCCTGTTTAGGCTGAACTTTTAAGGTAAAAAAGCAGAATGGATTCTTGACCTCAGTGTGAAGTAAGTCCTCCATTCACCCCACAGGCCGGGCTGGCAGCACCAGCACTGCTCCCTTTGCAGCCCCATGGTCTGTCACTTGCACCTGCTGAAATTCCCCAGACTCTGGGCCCTTGGGAAGCACTGGGGAAATCCTGCTGTGAGTCACAGTCGTGAAAATCTGAAGTTAATGTCTTTAAACACTGACTTACACTTGAGGAAATAGGAGAAGGTGACATTACAGGACAGAGCTCTGGCTTGAGACACGGGCTGTTTCGGTTTGGTCCTGGTCTTTGCTACAAACATGCTGGGTAATTTTAAGCATTTAACATTGTTTGCTTGATCCCTCTTACCCTGCTCCTTTATTCCACAGCTTCCATATCTGTAAAAGCTGCATGTAATGAAATTAATCTCCTTTATAAAACATACCAGGGATCAGATGGTTTTCCTTAAACGGCAATATAGCTAGATATTAATAGTGAGATCAAAATTGGCCATATGAGTATGCCAACAGTGGATTAGTAAAACCCTTAGTATTTGGTGACCTAACCTTAGAAAATATTTCAGAAATCTTAGAGAAAATAATCCCAGAAAATAATCGCAGGAAGTATGATATATCAGATCTCCAACAAAATATTCCCCCCCTATATCACTTCCTCTTACAGGTGTCTACAAACAAAACTAAAGGAAAACAAAAATGCTGCATACAGATCAAACCCAGCCCTGCTGTAACAGTGCCAACACTTTCCATACCAAGTTACATCATGGTTAGTATCAGGCTCTGTGTTTGCTGCATGCTGACATTTCCACATCTATAGCTGAAACAATTGGCATGAAAACTAGCTAAGGAAAAAAAAATATTAAATAAAAGCATGAAATACTGGATCAATTGTACAGCAAAGTTGCTGAGACAATCTCACCCCACTGCCTTCAATATGCATGCTGCTGCTGTGATGCCTTTGAGGGGAATGCTGCCCTGGTGCCATCGGGAGACACTTCAGATACATAAACATCTGCTTGCATCTGGAGTGCAGGCAGTAAAACCAGGCATGGCTTTTTCTTTCAGTTCAAAGAAAGCCTGAAGAAACTCGATCCATTTAAATTCATTCCCATGAGCCTAATCCAAATCCTTATTAAGAAACCTTATGCAATGAGTAGCTCAAAACCAACTGGAAAGAGTATTCTTCCCTTGCTGTCAGACTCCCTTGCTGTCAGACTCATTCACCCAAAGACTGAAGTTTCACTGAAAGCCACTTCAGGGTTTTCTGTGGCTGCATCTTTGTGCATCCAGACAGAACCACCGCTGATTTCTGCACTTTGCTGCTGCACAGCCCCAGCGGCTGCAAGCTGCACAAGGAACCTCTCAAAAAGTGAGCCGAAGCATCAGGAGTTCCGTAGTTTCTCAGAGCTTACAATTACCTCAGTAAACAGCAGAATCATGTTCAAAATACCTCACCTCTGTTTCTGTTGGTTCTCCCCACACGTTCTCACACAACATGCACACAGCTGAGAAAACATCCTCTCCTTCAATATCAACAGGTTAAGCAAATAACCTGACTTACACTGAACGCCCCCTCAGAGCTGCTGACTGGCAGGCTGCTGCATGGGGTCTGACCATCCAGCTTTTAGAGCAATGAAGTGCTGAGAAACTCACCTCTGCTGTCAGAGATCAGATGAATGGAGAAGAGCATTTCCCGTGCTCCCACAGGCTCCCTCGCCTCATGCCATGTCAGTTACACGCACTGAGCTCAGAGCAAGTCTCCCCTTTCCAAGCCAGATCCGTTTCAGATGTGAGCAGCAGAAGCAGAGAGAGTAACAGGCAACCCCCTACCAACGAGTTTTCTGCACTTCCCAGCGAAATCAGGGAGGAATTTTCCAAAGTCACCATATGGGAAAATGTGAGTAGGAAAGAGGAAGCAGCTATAGTCTGAATATAAAGACTTGGGCAAGAAACGATCTCCCACTGCTTTCTGTCAGTGCAGCTTGTGAGATCTGTGAGAGATGCCAAAAGAAAGCACGCTGGATTTGACAGAAGCAGAGGCGGTGTGTGTTTTAGCATTGCATTGCAGCTGCACTGCCTGTTACTAGATCTTTCATTTTAGCTGCCTTCAACACCAAATCTGAATTCCAGGTGGGAATGTCCTCCCGTTCCCTGGGGGCCTGGTTCAGATTTGCCAGGAGCAGACAGATCCACAGCATTTCCTGTATTTCATCTTACCCCCCTTTGCTTCCCCCTGATTTTAAACACATCAGCTGATCTTCAGAGACCAGGGGTACGAAGGTTGTGAAGTGACAAACGTCTCAGAAGCAAAGCCCTAACATTTAACATAACACCTATTTACCAATCTCTTCTGTATTTTCTAAGCCCCATATTATAGCATTAAACATCAAAGCACTCCCCCTCAACTTGCTCCAGTCACGGTTAACCCCAAAATCTCACATTTCCTATTTCTTCCCCCTTGGTAAAAAGAGAGGAGCAGGCTGTTTATAACACAGCATGCTCCAAGTGCACCAATACTTCCAAGAAAACAATGCAGCTGTTTGTCACCGGCAGCAGAGTTACTTCTTCAAATACAAAGCCACCTGTTTTGGGAATGCCCTGCAATGTACTGTACCTTCACAGAATCTGCAGAGGATCTCTCCTCACCAAGAACACGACCTTCTTGTTGTATTCCAAACAAAAAATAAAAGGCACACCAATCCTTTCCTCTCGATTCCAGCTGAACTGAAGTCTAAAGCAATTAAGTTATTTCCTCCCTCTCTTCTTCCAGGCTCATATCAACTGGAACTGATCCCCCTCTGTGCCACGTGTAAGTTGCAGAAGTTATTGTGGGAAGTATGTTTTTACTGAAACAAAAACAAAAACAAAGCAAAGCTGGCTGCTTAGTCTTACTGATTGAGATCCAGAATGGATTTGCTTGCTCTTCTTTCTTTACTATAGCACCCTGAAACCATATCACAAGATTAACACTGTTTTCAGAGAGGAGACAAAAGTGTGTTGTGTCCCCCCATCTCACCCCAGTCTTCAGATAGAGAAGAGGAACAGGAGGGACCCCCAGCTCACTGCAGAGGCTGGAGCAGCCCAAGAGGGAGAGGTAGAGAGCAGGATTCACCCTCCTCCAGAAGAGTATTCTTCTCCATGTCTTTGCTGTAAAATTCTTAGATATCATACAGCATCCAGAGGTACTGCTGTGCATTACCAAAGAAGTGTCTTACACCTCCTTTAGTGATGGGGAAACAGAGACACAGAGAGGTGCCACAGCCAGCTCAGGACTATCTCAGCACAAAGACTACCCAGCAGGACTGAGAATCAGGTATTTCACCTGCAAAGGTAACTACCTTTACACACTGTGCTACAGATTACCCACAGTCTTTTTTCTAAGCATTCACTTCCTCCTGCCCTATCCTCTTGTATCAACATATCCCAAACTTAAGATCTCCTGTCTCCAATTCCAACACCCATTCCAACAGGAAAACCGGAACCGGCATCAAACCTACCCAAAGTGTTCTGACCCACCGCTAAGCCAAGGGCTGTGCCCAGCATGGTGTGAGGCTGCCACTGCTGCTGTCACTGCAGCTTTCTGCTGCTTTCAGAGGAAAGAAACTCCACTGCAGGACTCACAACTTAGAATCAGTTGTATTCAAAATCTCCAGTCCAACTCAACTCTTTCTGCCCTCGCATGTTCCCTGCAGTGGTAGCTGCAATCTAAACAAAGCAACATTCAGGTTCAAAACATGAAGCTGAAAATTCAGTTTAAATTCTGGTACGGTCATTTCTTGAGATCGCATGGACAGCATAAACAAATAAAGCACATCCCAGTCAAGAAACAACAGGGAAGAGAACAGAAGGTGTAAGCAGATCTATCAAAGCATATTTAGGAAGGTGTAAGAACACTGGTTCAGTGGGCAGCATTACATCAGCTTCCTTGTGATAAGCATGGAGTGAGGCATAAGGCAATCAGGAAAGTTAAGTTTTAGTTGTATCAGTGTGTCATAAAACGTTCTTTACTTTCAGCTTTATTTACCCAACTTATATAAGACTCTACAGAAACACTGATGTTCCTCAAGAGTCCAGTGCTGTATGCTGACATGTGCCTTTAATTGAAAGCAGAGAACAAAGCCTATTAACAATCTTTTAAGCAACCTGCTGTCATTTGCTTTAAAAAATGAACAATCAAAACACTGAGAGCAAAAGGCGTTTTTGTCTCCAAGGCAGGAAAGGAAGTATTTTTCAAACCTAAGTATGCACAGCAGAGCCTGGCTAACTGCCTACTGGCATCTGTGTGTTGATCCAAATGAATTTTAAGATGTTTGTTCTCCCACAGGATATGTACTATTCAAAAAAATAATAATAATAAAGAAAGAATCCATGACTGTTTTTAATCTACCTGAAATATGGGACACAGACACAGCATATTTTGTACTTGCTTGATGCTATACATGTCCCTTTTAGCTTGCTGCAGCACTACTAGGATAATTCTGTTATTATACCAACAGTAAATAACTAACATTTCCCAAAACAACCACACAGTGTCTTATAAAGTCATCTGCTTTTCTCTCAGCAATGAATTCTTGTTGCAGATATATGGTACAGCTCATGCTGTTACTCCAACAAATTATCCTGCTGTTTACTTAGGTAATAAGTGAATTTTTTCCACTTGTTGTGTTTTCTTTTTTTCTTTCTCCAGCATTTGCTCTCCACATGTGGTTCCACAAGGGTTGATTTCTCATAGTTGAGACTTTTTCCTGTCTTTTATCCACCAGGCTAATTGCAATCTTACTCTTCTCCGTTTAACCAGAGCTGACATCCAGCTCAGCAATCTGTGAAACAGGAAGCAGTGGAGTTCCAGTTCCAAGGAGGTGACAGTTTAAACAGCTCTCAAATGAACTGGGCATATGAGGGCTGCAGCTTTGAGCCCTATAGAGCTGACCCTGTACTGGAGTCACAGCAGCCTTGGTGGCTCAGAGCTCTGTCTCCCAACAAGCCTACAGGGACAGAGCCCTTTCTGACCCTTCAGAAAGGCCATAACACACAAGTCGTTCAGCCCTCGTCCCAACTGGATACCCAACATGGCTACCCAGTACTGCAGCCCCAACAACTGACCTCCTTTGTGTCGCCGTGCCTCAGTGCTCCCCACCACCTCACTTCACCACCACCAGTAAGCAGAGGTGGGCAGAGAGCTAGCATAATCCCAGAGCTTGTCCCTGTGCTGTAGGGTGCCCTAGAGGCCAGCAAGGCACCCTAGCACATTTTAGACACTACAGAAGATTCCTGCAGCTGTCCAGCATGTTTTATAGCCCCCTCCGTACTCTCAGATGCATAAAACTCCGAAGAAACCTCACTGCTTTCAAGACTGCAGAGGCCTCCCTGGGTCAATAAATACACCCTCTGTGATCTAGTTTGTCCTAGAAGCTTCCTAGTATGCACTTAGAGAACTCCAGAGCCCCCCAGGGCATGCTAGAGTGCTCCCAGGGACACTGAATGTGCTCTAAGCCACACTAGAGGCTTCCTAATGCGTCCTAGAGGACACCCAGTTCCTCCCACTGTGGTCTGAGACACACTAGAATGCTCTCATAACTCTTAAATGCTCTACAGAGTGCCATAAAAACATCCTAGTGTCCAACAGAGGATTTCCAAGACTTCTCAGGCCTACTCAAGACCACTGTAGTACAAATACAGCCCCTCAAGCGAGCTCTAAAGCACCCTGGAGACCTTCCAGGAACACTCAGTGCACTCCAGGGTCTATTAGTGTGCTTTCAGTGCTCTTCACTGTGCTCTGGCACGTCCTATAGGAGGTACATCCTACAGCCCATAGGCAGCCTGGCCCTGCTCATCCTGCTGCCTGACACCTGCCAATGTTGATGCGACTGAATTTCATGACTACTTCTTTATTAATGAGTTCATTATCTATGAAGCTCTTGGACTCTGCCTGGAAGGTAACAGCATTACTGAAGCACACTGTTGTATGAAAATGGGAAGTCTTACAAATATCTTTTTACTTCTTCGTATGAGTTGTGTACTGGACAGATCTCATATATTTGAATGCCATATTAGCTAACCTCACGGGGGGAAAAAGCAAGCTGCCTGTGTAGTAACATAAAGATGTGCAAACCGTAGGAAGTATTTAACAAATTGGTGTATTATCGTGATTTCTAGAGAAGTACAGAAGGCAAATTAAAGTGTTGGACAACTGTATGAAGTAACATGGCAAGTTTGTGAGATTAGGGGCTCCAGGACTGCAGTATGATGTCGTCTTTCTCTGAATTGTTTTTGAGTGATTTTGAGAAAACTGCATGCTTTTGTCACTAGATGGTGTATTTTACTAAGTCTGAGCATTGCCAATGAGACAACTTCACAGACCTTCAGGAAACATTGTTATGCAGCCCCCCAGTGTTGATGGTAATTTTGCAAGTAATTCCTCTCAGAGACAGCAAGGCAAAGATATTTTCACAGCAGTCAGCAATTACAACTAACCTTCCTTTTACAAAAGAAAACCCATACATTTCATGGTATCTTCCTTAATATAACAACAATAATAAAAGCTATATCTGTTAAGTTTGGGATCTCAAAATACTTATCTGATATTATTCCAACAGATGGTCACTTCTGCCCCTGCTTATCAGCAACACAGGTTTTCCTTTGTGTTCTTTCACATGAGATGGCTCTTGAGGAGCATTGGGATCTGTGAGGATAATGCACCTTCTCTGTTGGGAATGAGCAGGTGGCAGGAAGCTGGAGAAGAAACCTTGTAAATAGCACACCTTAATTTAAATAGCTGCAACAGGTCGATCACCTGCTGTCAATTTGGGGTTAAAAAAAAATAGTATCGGGAAAATTGGGAAGAAAAACACACCGGTTAAATGGGAGCATGGGTATCTGTGATGGAAGAATTCCATTGCTAGGGATGTGTTAATGCTTGGCAGTACAGGCAACTACTGGTATCTGTGCCTCTCTCAATTTGAGAAGAGAACGCAATGCAGAACGTGCTGTGCCTGCAGG